GTTCTGAATGGGAACAAATGCCCAGTATCACATCCTACCAGTTGTGGATGTAAGGAGAACCTGGTGCAGGCTGATGCGAGGCATGTGGCGTTTCCCGGGGGCTCTGGGAGGAGGGGGCTCTGACCATATTTCAGGCAGCATCTTAGCACCCTGACAGCAGGGTTACCGGACGTCGACTGGGTTAGGGCGTAGGCTCTGGAGCTGGACTTCGCAGGTTCAGCTCTCAGCTCTGCGGCTGACTAGCAGTGGGCCCTGGGCAAGTCATTTCTTCTCTTTGCACCTCAGCTTCCACAACTGCAGGAAACTGATCTCCCAGAGGGCGGCTGTGGCGACTAAATGACACAGCGCACACAGAATTCTCTGATTCTGCATGTGTAGCCTGGGCGAGGAAACCTGGTTAGTGTTTTCAGATTTGCAAAGGGCGTGGGGTATGAGGGACCCCCAAAGGGCAGAGCTGGGCCCACCGAGGAGGAGACGTGGGGATTAAGGGCCCAGGTGAGCGGCAGGAATTTCAGTTACACCTGCAAGTATGTAACGCTGGGAACTTGCGTGCAGCAGCCTCTCAATAAATGCCAGCACTTTCCTGAGGTGGTGCTCTTTAAGCTTCACCAGGACCCTCTGGGGTGGGCACATTTTAGGGTAAGGGGACAGATGCATCCAGGACAGGTTCAATCCCTGTCCTCCCACTGGCTGCTCGGAGATATGGAGACACCCTGTCCGTGCCGTGCCGAGCCTGGGTCTGCTTCTCCAGGTTACCCACCCCGCTCCTCGGCCCTGCCCTGTGTGGCCGCCTCCCATGCAGGCTCCATTTGTCCATCTGATGAGCTGCATCACAAAGCCTGGGGACCCCCCACATCAACCAGTACTGCTTCTCCTGACCCACGCTGGGCTGGGATCTGCAGCGAGCCCTTATGTGGGCCCAGGGCTGCGCTGGGGGCTGGGGGCGGGCAGGGAAGCCATTTCTAGACCCATCTGCCAGTCTCAGAATTTGCTGCTGTGAGGACTCTCCGGGCGTGAGTCAAGCAGGCGGGGAATGGAGTCCAGCCAGCTCTGAAGCAGGGGCCTTTGCCCAGGGGAAGAGGGCTGACAGCTGGATGGCGGGGCTGCAGCTTGTGGGTGATACCTGACCAGCATCTGTGCTGGGGGCTGGGATCAACAAAGGTCACGAAGTGAAATGGGACCCACTGGGCTGGGTGAGGTGGGGGTAGGGGTTCACGGTCAGCTTCCTGGAGGGAGAGCAAGCAGTGAGGGCCCCAGGACTTTCTGAGAGCCTGTGGTATCTCCCACTCGCTTGGCCACAGAGTTCTGAGGGAGGTGAAGACTTTCATCGCCAAGAAGCTAGGACTGCCTCATACCCTGCAACAGCTGCTTCCATGAGAACCTCGAGTGAGAACCGAGCTTCCCCAAGGTTGCAGCCCCCGGAGTCTGGCTGAGATGGGAGGGGTCTGACTTCCATAGCTGCTGGTCTAGAGCTGCTTGCTGGCCCAGGAGGACTAGCTCTGAGACAAACACCCAAGGGCCCCTTTGAGAAATGTCTCTTTCCACGAATGCAAAGCAGTATAACACTTTGAAAGGCAGGGAGCACTTTTGCTTCATAGATTGAATCATGGAGACAATTCAGAGGCCTTCCCTTCTCCTGGGCTCTGACCAGCACCCTGGGGTCCTGAGGGATGACTCAGCATCCCTGGAGGTGCCTGCGGGCTGGCCTCCCCATGATCGGCAAAGCCCCAGGACATCCGCCTGCCTCAGCCGAGCTCCTGCACGCAAGTTCCCAGCAAGGGGAGCTCGTTACATACTTGCAGGTGTAACTGAAATTCTTACCACTCACTTGGGCCCTAAATCCCCATGTCTCCTCCTCGGTGGGCCCAGCTCTGCCCTTTGGGGGTCGCTCACACCCCACGCCCTTTGGAAATTTGAAAACACTAACCAGGTTCCCTGCCCAGGTTACACATGCAAAATCAGAGAATACAAGGGGCAGAAAAAGAGATGGTGATAATTTTGTCCAGGCAGCTTCACGCTTCACCCCACATAGATGCTCCCCAGTGAAGGATCCTGCACCCCAGGCTTCCAGGACCCGTCCACGAGCTCCCAAGAGCCCAGCAAAGCGGTGCAGGGCGTTTTGAATAGGTTTTGTAATAAGGGGGGCAGGGGCTCCCCCCAGCACTGCCTTGCTTCCCGACAACACCAACGACTTGCTTCATTCCCAAGCAGCCACGCTCCTGGGTGTATAAATGGGACTTCGGCGGCACTTGAGTAATCAAGCCAGTGGAGCTGTTGCGACTCATCCTCATCACCTGACCAGTGGCCTCTCTATTCTCACTTCATCCCCACTCTGGGCTGAAACCAGGAGCTGCTCCTCACCCACCACAGCGCCCGGCAGGCTCCGTCCACAGACACGGGGCGGGACCCCGTCGTGACAGGAGGCCCATGCCCACGGCGTGCCTCCAGCCTGAATGAGACAGCTTCCTTGCAGGCCCCAGAGATCAGAACCCAGCCAAATGCTTCTTGGGAAAAGCACAGTCAGCCACGCCCCAGAGATAAGCGACTCCCTGAGATCCAGACGGGACGTGGTTCTGAGTCTGTCTTCTCTCAAGCTGCAACAGCAGCTGTGCTACGACTCTGACAGAAAATCAAGTCCAGAACGCATACCTGTGGCTCAGAAACTCACTCAGAGGCCTTGGGATCCTCTGTGGAAAACTTAAGTGTGTAGAAGTTCCGAAACCGCCTCTGGGCAGAGGTGAGCGTGTTCCGGCCCGAGAGCCTTTTGAAGGGATGCTGTCCGGCAGGGCGAGTGCTTTTCACTGTAGTGTGCATGCGAATTGCCGGGGGGGCCTTGTCTGAGCCGCCGGCCTCTGCCGGTCTGGGAAGGGACCCAGGACCCTGCATTTCTCACCAGCTGCTGGTCCAGGAACCACATTTCGGGCAGCAGGCACCAGACTAGACTAGAGCGTCAAAGGTAGAGCATTGCGTGACCTACAGGCGCTGAGTCCAGGACAGGGGTGGGTGGGGGGTTAGACCCCATACCTGTCTGCAGTGATAACTCATGCCACGGGCCCTTGGTACTTAGGGGAGTTGTCACTTGAGCTCCTTTACCCTTTTAATCAAATTGGTGTTTGCGAAGAGCAAGTTCTCGGACATCACGGGCTCCATTGTAGCTCCTCTTACATCCAGGAGAAGCACAGCCCCTTACTGGCTAGCTAGGGGACAGGGACAGTCCTCGAATCCCTTGTGCCAAGGGAAGCACAGGAGATGCCTGAGATGACCACGGCCGCTCAGCCACACAACCATTCTCATTACCAGCCCTCAGCCTGTGCTCACAGCCTGGTGAGCGAGACCAGCACCTACAGGACGAACTCTACCTGGTGAGAGAGACGCTCACCAGGGGCCTGTGCCGGACGCTTGACGACAGGCCTGGGGGAGGCAGCGAGGAAGCCCATGGGATGCGTGGCTGTCCGTAGCGGGGGCGGGGAGGGGGGGCGGCTCACAGAGACAGCACCATCTGGGCTGGGTCCCGGAGGAGGCTCAGATTTTTCCAGATGAGATACAGGAGGGGACAGGCATACAGGCAGAAGGAGCAGGATGTGCCCAGAGCGCTCCGTGCAGGGAACTGTGGGCAGGATGTGCCGGAACAGCCAGAGCATCAGCGGAGGGGGTCGGGGTGCGGGCAGGGCAGAGGCCTCACGGGCAGGGCAGAGGCCTCAGAGGGGGAGCAGGGGTCCAGTTGTGCATGTAGAAGGGAGATTGCAGGCAATAGGGATGTTAAAGAAATTAAAAATAAAACCTCTTCCTTTATGACCTTCAGGGTGGTAAGAATTCCATTATTCAATCAGTGTCTCTTTTTTCACATGACTAAATTTTGAAATGGGTAAAAAATGTTTGCGTCTGGCTTTTCACTTTTTTAAAAAAAGATTTCATTTGTTTTCTTTTTTTAGAGAGAGCAGAAGGAGAAAGAGAGGGAGAGAAACATCAATGTCTGGTTGCCCCTCATGTGACCCCCCAACTGGGGACCTGACCGGCAACCCAGGCATGTGCTCTGACTGGTAATCAAACCGGCGACCCTTTGATTTGCAGACCTGTGCTCTATCCACTGAGCCATACCAGCGAGGGCCTGGCTTTTCACTTCTTAGCATCGAACACAAGCATCTCCCTAGGCTGTCATAAACCTGTTGTCCACAGCACTTCTTGATGGCTGTACAAGGTTCCATTCCACCAGTGCTGGCCTGCTGGACATTCAGACTGTGCTCCATCTTTCACGATCACGAGCCTTTTCTGAATGTTAGACCATAACCTTGGCGTGAATCCTAAGGACTGGAATTGGAATCAAAGGGTGTGAACAAGCTCAGGACCTTAACGCACGTGGCAGACTGTTTCCCAAAAGGTTGTGGGAGAGCTTCAGTAGTGTGACGGATGCCCGGGTTCTGGAGAAAACCAGTCTCAGAGTGAGGGGGAGGGGAGGAACCTGAGTCATTCAAGGGCTCTTGGCTGGGGGGGTGCCAGCCCCAGAGGTCAGGATGTGCCCAGGGCTGGCGCTCTGTGAATGGGTGCACGCTAAAGCCAGGCCAGGAAGCGCAGCAGCCCTGGACGCACACAGGCCGGCGCAGCTGTACTACTAGGTAGGAGCGTAGGGTTCCCTCCGGCCCAACAGGAGCCGCTCTGCAGACGGGTTTTGTGTTAGTCTCTAAGAGAGTTCCTTCTGAAATGTGAAGTCTTGGCTTCAGCGAGCTAGAGCATTACCAACCAGACCAAGACAGAGTCAGACAGTGAGATTATCTGGGCCGTCTGGGGAGACTGGAACGGAGACCCAGGATTTCCCCTTACCTGGCCTCCCTTCCCTTAAGGACAAGCACCGTTTCTGAGGGCTAGGCTGTACCAGGAGAAAGGCCAGCCCGGCCGGAGTGTCAACGCAGCCCTGTGGTTTGCCCGGCAGGCAGGGACCAGTGTACTGACCCCCTTTACCCAAGTCAAGTGGCCGTCTCTGAGCAAGGCCACTGGCTCCTCACCTGCCAGAGCTGGGATGGTGACCCGGTTCCACTCCCACGGCTGGTCGTACTCATCGGCGGGCCTGTCGTCGTCCTGGGGCAGCTTGCTCTCCCGCAGCCGGGGGCTGACTGCACTCTCCGAGTCCGAGTCCACGCTCTGGCCCTCGGGTTCGTAAGGGGTGTCATATAACTGGATGCCTTTGTGCTGGGACCGGACACTTTCCTGCCTCTGAAATTCTGTAGGCAAAAAAAGGGAAGCAGAGGTGTAAGAGAATCGAAACCCACACTTCCTCGCCTGGGATCTGCCAGGTGACACCCACAAGAGTTTGGAGCCACCAGCCAAGGAGGTAAGGACTGCACAGAACAGCCCCCTTTCTGCATCCACTGTGCCTCCCACCCTGGAGGGCAGCATGGCTGCCCTCACAGGGCGAGGCTCCCTCACAAGATCTCAGGCTCTCGGACCTGAGGACAGAAGCAGAAGGCTCACTGCCTCCACCGGCTCGTTCACTGCAGTCTCGGGGGCAGGGCCTCCAGGTACACGTGGGGTGCAGGCGTGCTTGGGCACCGGCCCCGAGCAGACAGAGCTCTCACTCCCTCGCCTTACAGACGAGTGGAGACTTCCCCACCGGGGTCTCTCTCCACCCTCACAACTTTTACTCAAGTTTTCACCCAGCTTCACTCGTGTTAAATAGACCTAAGGAGCCTCCCCAGGGGACCTGGAGTCACCATTCTCCCCTATAAAGAGACTCCTTCCCGGTGTTGCTGCCTCCCCCCGAGCCTGCCTGTCTGCTAACGTGCTGAGCACATCTGAGCGATGTGAGAGCGGACGTCCAGTTCCACTTCTGAATGAGGAAGGAAAGCTCTTCGTCTCCTGGCCAGGATGGCAAGGACCGGCTCCGGGGGGCGGAGGGGTGACCTCCATTTCAGGTGCTGCTCACTCCCGAGAGGATGGTGGTGGATGACAGGGGGGCGCAGGGATGCTACAATCGGGGGCTTCTGAGTCAAACGGACACGTGACCTGCTTTGATCATAAACGCCCACTGTGCGCAGAGCCGGCTCGGGGACACAGGGAAGGCAGGGTTCGCTGTGGAGGCTGCCCCCAGGAAGCCCACTGTTTCCACAGGAGCTGCAACAACCTAAATCACCGTAACACCGTACAGCAGAGGGGCTCAGTGCGGGGCCTGTGAGGGGTGACGCGGGAGGCGAGAGAGATGGCCTCTGAGCCGACAGCTCTGACAAGCGGGAACAGCAGAGGACAGGATTCCCTGCGGAAGGACCAGGCCAGCCAGGGCACTCGGGCTGGCGAGAACATGCTCACTACCCGCTTTTCTGTTTTGCTGTGGTAAGCCGTACAACGTTCGCCGTTCTTAGTGTACATTCGGTGGTACTACATATATCCAACCATCGCCACCCTCCATCTCCAGAACGCTGTCATCTTCCCAGACAGAAGCTCCGTACCCATCAAACAACGATTCCCCATTTCTCCGTCTCCCAGCCCCTGGCAACCACCATGCTATTTCTGTCTCTATTGATTTGATACATTAGGGACTTCAATATAAGGGGGATCTTATATTTGTCCTTCTGTGGCTAGCTTATTTCACCTGGCATAATGTTTTTGAGGTTCTTCCAGTTGTAGCGTGTGTCAGAATTCCATTTCTTTGTAAGGCTGAATAATACCCCATTGCATGTCTATTTGCTGCCCACTTTCACTGGAGTACTGGGCTCAAGGAGGCGAGAGAGTGGAGGGAGGCTTGTCACCAAAGAGGTGAGGGTCATGAGTGTGCCGTTCAACAGCTGTTTGAACTGGAGGCAATTCTCCAAGTCAGAGTGTCGGTGGCACAATGACATGGTCGAATCACGTGCGCCTTAAAGGGCAGCTGACAAAACACATGAGCGACAACAGCCCTTCCAAGCAAGAGCGCTGCTGTTAGGCTGCGCTTTTCGATCCAAGGCCAGCTCACGGGGAGGGCACCCCCCCACCACAACCCCGCCCCACCACGCACAGGCCCTGATACAACAGAGGCCAACCGAGGCTGTGCCGCTGGTCCTCAGTGTCGGCTTTAAATAACATTATGGGAGTATTTTCCAAACTGTGTTTAGTCACATACTGACTTCACGGGTCTGCCATTTTTTGATTACCACTTGGGTTATTAATTTCCATATTTACTTATTCATTTTAGAGAAAAAAAAATCACTTAAAAAGCATGTTTTCTATCATCCTCCCATCAGCCCTTATCTAAACAGTTGATCAACGTAAAAAGAAGGAAGGAGGACTAATGCAAGCAGGGGGGCACCACTGCCCGCGGGGAGGCCAGCCCCCGGCCTGCTCTCCCTCAGCTGACGAGATGAGCAGACACTGGAGAACTTGGGCATGAAGGCACCAAACAGACTTTCTTTGACAAATAATAACTTTCTCTTTTTACAGAGAGAATGAAAAAGGAAAAAAAAAAACCTTCTCACAATGTGGTTCTTGGGCCACCTGAAATCCTTCTCCTGTGAAGTGTCCCATCTTTGGCAAAGCACACCTCACTGAGTCGCACGAGTCACCTGGAATCACGTGTAAGCTTGGGGGATGAGCCTTCCCTTTTTATGGGGCCGGCAGAGGAAAAGTGAAGAGCCAGAAAAGGTAGTGCTGGGTTGCCTGAAAGAGAAAACCAACTGCAAAGTATGTAGCCAACTCTGTAAATCATTAAATCTACCAAACTATTTATCTGACCTGCTTTGGGAGGTCACTGTCATCCATATCACTGTCTCCCATATCACTGTCTCCCTGATTCTAAGCACAGCCGTGCCTCCTGCCTTTGGAGGAGCACTCTGAGGGTGACTGTGGGGACCGCAGTTGAGAGGCAGTGACCTGGGAAAACCACTTTTCCCTTCGCCCTGTTTCACAAACAGGACCGGCAACCACTGCAGTGTGCACCGTATTCTACGGTGTACAAGGCATTTTGCATGTGAGTCACCATTTAATCGCGGGCACCACAAAGCACTTCACAGACGCTCCTCTGGGGGCCCCCAATAATCAGGCGCGCCTTCACTCTCTCAGAGCCCGGCTGCAGACAGATATTCAATGAATCTGGGTGGGATAAATGAACAGCAGCTGACAGCCTGATTTACCCCCAATTCCAGTTAATTTATGGAAGTCCCCGACAGCAGTGCTAAAGTACCTGGAACGACATGCTAAGTGCGTGTAGTTTAGTATTATGCAATATTCAGCAGAGATGGATATTCCATATAAATACCAACCTAAAAGGGAAACACGTGCCAGCGAACAGATTAGCTATTAAATCAGAGGGCCTCGTGTGTGCACCTCTCACACAGGATTTATTGTTCCCACAGCATCTGGGCTTTCCAGAGCCGGGCTGGTAATGGCGTGCAGTTAGGCCGGGGGATGTTATAATGGTAATCATTAAAACAAGCTTTCCCCGCATTACATGGTGAATTCAAGTTTTCATTAAGGCTCCAACAAAAGGAACAGTTAAGTAAATTATGGCATGCTAACTGGATGGAATATTAAGCAGCCATTAAAATGATAAATCTGAAGATTCTGTAGCTACACGGAAAAGCGTGCATGAAATTATGCTAAGTTAAAGAGTAAAATACAAGACCACTTATGTGTTGAGAGCCCAACGGAATAATACAGGCTTTCTAAACAAGTGCTGGACAAGGTGAACAACACCCCGAGGGGAATTCGACTCCGTGCTCGGGAGCTGCTGAACACCAGCCAGCACCGCACCCTTGCCCGTGACGTCTGAACACGGGGGACAGCGGCGCCGTGAGGACGGACATGCATGAACTCGGGGCTGAGAACCCGACGCGGCAAGGTAAACAGCCACTGTGTACAGAAGAAGGGATGACTGCGTGATTATTGTTGAAAGTTGTTCTAAATAATGAATGAAAATGCTAGTAAAGAGAATGTAATTAAGACAGCAACGCATAGAAGTAAACACAATTTTAAGCAGGTTGGGCTGATAGGAGCCGTGCGAGTTTCGGAGGCAGCTGCCTTTGCCTGAGAAAAGGCCCATTTCAGGAGCATCTCTCGCCGGAGAGGTTGGCCAGGAGCCCTGGGAGTCAGGGGCCAGCGGGTCACATCAGCTTACCAGGTGTCGCCGGCTCCTGCCTGGTGACCGGCCTCGGCCTCCTTGTTCCCCAGACAGACCTGTGACGATCCAGAGGCTGATCTGATAGGGCAGCTGGTAATCACATATTTCAAGTCACAAGTTATCTGGGCATCGCCATCCATAAACTCATTGAAAGCGACCTTTAATATTGGGTGGCAGGCTGTGATTTCATGCCTCTTGGGGCAGGGAGCAGAAACACTAAATTGACAGGGTGGGGATTTCTCTTGACCTCTAGAGTAGAAAGGTTTTTAAGTGGGACTACATAGAGAGAAAGAACCAAAGAGATAGATAGATAGATAGATAGATAGAGAATTTTAGAATTAGATGGTGTTAGCACTGGAAAAGGCCCTGGGAGCATTCATCAAGGTCTGGGAGCCAGGAAGGCGAGGCAGGCGCACTGACGAGGGACTGTGGCCCTGGGCCCGGGGATTCCCGGAGCGAGGGGCCTGGGACAGAGCTTAGTCAAACCCGGAGCCTCCTGAGTGGGCTTGCCGAAGGTTTAGCATTCCCCAAGCCCACAAGCAACAAGCTGTGTGTTAGAGTGCACTGGGACATGGGCCTATGCCACAGCACCTAGGCTGGAACAAAGAAGGGACATGTCTCCATCACTGCCTAAATACCTGACCTCCAGGTTCCCCGTCTCAGAAGCAGCTGAGGCACAGCTGGGGACATCCTGCTGGAATCCTCACTGCCCTCTTCCTTCTCCCTCCGGCTTCCTACAGAATCAGCCCTCCCCGATCAGACAGACACCCAGGACACCTAGAGAGCGGATCTGCAGGGCAACTCCCCCTCCCCCGGGGGTCTGCTACACACCTTAAAAGCCCTTCGACTCTTTCCCTTGGGACTGTCTGTTCGGACCCAGCCCGCCTGGCATAAAAGCCCTTAACTGGACTTTTCTGGCTCCGGGTCCTTTCTTAGCCACCTCGGCTACCTAACACTACGTGATGCGTTTCACTCCAGCACTCATCAACTCTGTGCCCTGGCACCCCTGCCTTTTTAAATTTTTTCCCCTTTGGCTGCCAGGAAGCTCACGGTTAATTCTGATGCTTACCTTCAATAACTATGTTAGCTTACATTGCGGAGATTCACTTGCCCTTCCTTCTATATAGATTTTTGATC